CACTATGTGTTTCTGATATAACCAAGATCTTGTCTGAGCACAAGATATTAACCAACGTCCCAAGAAAGTAAAACTCAAACCTAAATTAAGACCTTGCTGGTAAAAGGATTTATATGCAATTTTGTGAGAAACCCTTTGAAGATCTCATACAGGGCATTTTGACCAGCAAACATTTCGAGTGACAGAGAGATTTGTTCTGTGCTGAGCAGTGAAAGTGGATTTATTGTGAAAACACACCGTTGAGTTTTAAGCCTGTAAATCTTACACTGGATTACAGTGTCTTAATGAATGAATGACAGATCTCTATTTTTTTGTCGGTGCATTTTAATGTTACATGACGTTGTGATTGATAGAAACCAAACCTTTGCCATAAAAATGTCAAAGACAGACTTGATGCCTTTAAAAGTTTGGCTTCTGGAGTTTAATATACTGTTTGCAAATAGACTTGCATTTGTCTCCTTCATAGCCTAAACACCGAAGGGGAGGCAAGTTTTCTGTAAAGTTGCCTCTAAATTTTATGGAGCTGTGTGCAGTGTTTTCCTTCGCTTGTGTAAATAATGGTAGAAAACAACAGTGCATTTGCCCAGCTAAGAGACACTCAGCTACGGAGAGTCTTACCTGGTATTATAATGAAGTAATTGGCCATGTTATAGCAGACCCTTAAGTATCCCGTGGTGAAAGTGGAGACTGCTGCATGCCGAGGCCAAGTACAGTACCAGCTCATGCTTGTCAGAGCAGGCAGTATTTCCTTGAACGATCTCAACTTAGGAAAAATATTAAACGCTTCTGAATAAGCATTGCAAAAGAGAGGCAGTAGATTGAAGTAAAGATAGAAAATAAATAGTAACTGGCCAGTACTGAGTTTTATATTGTTACGCATACTACGGTGTTCAATACCGTATTTCCATCTTTCATTCCATCCTGAGAAAAGATGGAGAATCAGAGACTCACCGAGGTTGAAACGGACCTTTGGAGATGAAGGGACCTTGCCTAGTCCAAGGGCTGTGTCCAGCTGGGTTTTGAATATCTCCAAGGACGGACTCTGCAATCTCTCTGGGCAACCTGTGACACTGTTTGACCGCTCTCACAGTCGTGCCATCATGATGTACCCCTGAGCCAACCGTGGGTCCATCTTCTTTATTCCCCTCTCCAGGAATGTGAACACATGGATGAGGGTTCTTCAGACTCTCTTCTTGAGACTACCAGCTCTCTCAGCCTCTCCTTGTACAACGAATGCTCCAAACCCTTAATCATCTTCCTAGCTCTTCACTCCAATACATACATGTCCCTCTTATACTGTCAAGACCAGCACTGGACGCAGGACTCCACCAGACACCACACTTGGCAAGACACCAGGTCTCACCAAAGCTGAGCACAGAAGAAGGGTCACCTCCCTCAGTCTGCTAGCAATACTCTGCCCAAAGGACCCCAGGAGACAGGTGGTCTTCCTTGTCACAAAGGGGACATCACCGGCTCATGGTCAACATACTGTCTGCCAGGACTCCCAGGTCCTTTTTGGTAACTCAGACCTCTACTCTATCTCCATAAAACTGAAGATGAAGCAACTCAAATGATACCTATTTGTGTGTACAATCATGACTTTATTTTACTGACTACAATTCAGAAAAAGAAAACATCCCACAACCACAAAACAAGAGAAGACAGAGTTTGGTATGTTGTGTTTGGTATGTTGTGTTTGATCTGGTTTTTAGTTGTAATTAAATTTGCAAGCCAAAACTTGATACCAAAGGCTATTGAACACAAGCAAGGAAATCACCAGGACTTAATGCCTGGTTATTTACCATAAAACAACAGGGGAAAAAAAAAAAAGGAAATTCAAACTGTGAATTGATGCAGTTCCCCTTCTTACTCTTGTTTGCTTGTATGGCTAGATGGTTCGAGTAGCTCCATGAGGAAACAGCTACACAACTGAACAGAGCAACACACACTGAAGCACAAGTCAACTTTCGCTTTTAAGTTTATTGCATTGTTATATTAAGCATTTTTATTTACACACAATTCTGAATTATTTAGTTACAGTATACTGAAACTGTCATCATGATTCAGTTATGCACTTATAAAGGCCTCCTACCTTCGAGTTACACCTGATTCTCTTACAGGCAGTACTGGAAGTAGAACAATTACTGACTGTAAATGCATGCAAAAAACCTACAGAAGTTAGGCGACTAACGTGTCTCTCCTTACTTTCTAACATTTGCTCACAATATGAATCCTATACATATGTTATATGAAAACCAGTTGGGAATCTCATGAAATCCCCCAGTGATGATGGAACGGTGCTGATTTTTGCCATGTCAAGTCTGCAGTCAAATATACATATGCATATGTGCATTTATATGTGTGTCTCTCAATGTACACACATGTGTGTGCAGGTATGGATAAGTATATATAAACACATACACTCACACACCAAAAAAATTCTGGAGGTAAATATGCAGGCTTACACATAAAACAAAATACAAAGATACCAGTATGAAATAGTCCTAAACAAAAGAGGTAATAAATATTCAGTGAGATATATGGCATTATTATAAAGTGCTCTACTAAAATCTCACTTATTAAAATAATGATAAAAATTACGTTCTTTTTAATTGATTTATATAATTTGGTAGAGCTGTTAAATATTCACTATGTATCAGCAATTCTATGCTTCCTTTTAAATTTTAAACAAATATATAAAAGCAGAAATTAAAAAGCAAAGCAGCTAAATGAAGCAGTACTATTGGAGCCTTTCAGGCTTCTGTCCTCAAATTCATTAGCAACTGCAAAATTTCCAATCCTAGAACATACGGATCAAGAAATATAATCCCATTAAAATTATGAACCTAAAACAAAATAAATTCTAAGGACAATGACAAACTGAAAAGTTTCCATCCTACTTTAGAATAGCAAGGTTTGAATTGCAGAAATTACTGAACACCTCATCCTGTGCATTCCCATTCTCTTTCCTCATGCATGTGCAATATAGCTCCACTGAAACCCAGTCTCTAGGTCTCATTTCTCCACATTCCATCTAATTTCAAAAGCAACCTGGCTCAGATATTACTGTATCTTCTCCAGCTTGCTTCTATCCTTCTGATTTTCAGCCAAACTCACAAAAGGGTACATCTACAAGAGTGTAAACATTTTAAACAGCTTTATGCCATTTCCTCCGTACCACCAGAAGTTAAAAAAAAAAAAGTGTGGTAGCATTGAAGAAAAAGAACTTCAGAAAATTAAGTGGAACAGCCCCACAATGTGAACCTGTCTCTCTGAATTAGTAAGAAAGTCAAAGATATTTTTGCATTTCAGTACAGCACTTTTGATTTTCTTTCCCCATCTTCTGTTGATGCTCCTTGTTACAATTCTTTCTATGATTTTCCCCATTTTTTTTTGACAAGTCTGTCCTTGTATCCGCAAAAAAAATGAACCCCCAAACCCAGAACAACAAAACCAGTAAATAGTTACTTTTAACGTCTACTGGAAAGAGCACTAAAGACTAACAAATCAGCTCTGACATCCCAGTTGAATTAAACCACATGTAAATTCAGTTTCCTTCAGGAATCTAATCTGGCCCTGAGGAGGCCCCTTCTCTGCCGTGCAACTCGGCTGGAGTGAAATTCACCCCGTAGAGAGTGTCACCACCTCTCCCCTGCCTGCCTACAATTGCTCCACACCACTTAAGCCCTAATTTGAAGTTAAGTGGGACTGAGCTGGTGCACAGGTCTTGCACTGATTCTCTGTAGAGTTAAAATTCCTGTGAAGCCACAGAACTGGCTGCCTCGCAGCTCGCAGTAAATGCATAATGACAGCATTGTCTCTCTGCTCCCTTGCAAGAACTGAGCTGCCTAACTCACTATTATATTAGTCAACAATATATTGCCTACATCTGGGGGAAAAGAGAGAAATAAACCCCAAACTAATAAAAATCCTAATAGCTGAGCAACAGAGTAGGTTTTGGGTACACTACCTGGCACACCACCAGTATACATATTCATGAGCTACATGGTAAAGCATGTACTGAGAGAAAAACAATGTCCTCAGCTGCACTTCCCCAGTTCCCCTCGTCCAACACCAGGCTCTCCCATTCTGGATATAAAACACTGTTACCTGCAGATCCAGTGCAATTTCCCCTTTCCAAGGCACTTTATCTAAAACCTGAATTGCAAACACCAAATTTTAACTCCCTGCTCCCTTATTTTTAAGGTCTGGTTTAAGGTTTCCATCCTGTCAAAGACGCCTTCACTGGCAGGCTTTTTTTGCTGGTGTTGTGGCAGTACACGAGTTAGAAGAAAATATAAATGGGATACTCTTCTTTAAGTGGCAAACTATTCTTGTTCACCAGCATAGCCACTGCCCCCCACAACTGCTTTGTAAAAATCTCTGTCTTTGGCAGATCCAGAGAAGACTTAACTGCAAAGGCACAGGTACATGTAATTGTGCAGGAGGCTTCATGTATATGAGTATCAGATAAAAATATCAGTTGAACTACACATTCCATGTAATCTTATCTTTGCTTTGAGTTCCTTTTGATAGAGTTTAGATGCAATACTTCAAGACACACTTTAAAAAACAACAGTGCAACAAAATGATCTGGATCACTGAAGCCAACCTCCTTCTATTTGGTCAACAGCACCAAAACCAAAACTTCTAATATCAGGTATTTATTTTTATAGATGTTTCACCTCTCATACTGAAGGAGATATAAATGTGGTCATAAAATCATTAAACTAATATAGTAATGTGCCAAGTGTAGAGGTAAAGGCACCTCTAATTGTTTGCTTTGGGTGCAATTCCTGATTCCTATTTTTTTTTTTGGGAAACAAAACCCTAACTTATAAACACTTCAAAAATTAGTGTACAACCCCCTCTGCGAGTTTCCACATTTCTCTTCCATTCTAGAAAATCATATATAAATAATTTTAACCAATTATTGAACATTGACATTTTAACCTTTCTTTCTGCTCAGTACATTTGTTACACAGGATGAGCCTCAGGCATCAGATGTTGATAGAGTGAGCATGTTTCTTGCACAGTGGCTTGTCCTTCTTGGAGAAGAAAGTCTGACCCTCCAAACTGTCACTACAAACCTGAAATAGAATCAAAAAGAAAAGATCATCCAAATTCAGATGAATTACACCATTAACTATTCAGAATGCCAAATCATGGTATTGTCCTATGCATGAGTATATTCAAAGAATAAGAATGATTACCTTTTTCTTAGGGATACTCCTTTTGATGCAATACTAATGGTTGATGTACGCTTAACCTTCTTTAAGTCAACAGGTTCATAGCTGGGAGCAGAGTTAGGATCAGCATTGATCTGGGCTTGTTTTGTTTTGGGTCATACAATATTAGTAGGTGATACAATATTAGCAGGCAATACAAGGTCTTTTTATCAAAAGCACTCTTGCTGCTTCAGAAATACAGCCCATTCCTGTATGGCCCTTCAGTGCCTGCTCTGAGGAAGTAAACATCAAGGGTTAAATGCTACGACACACGCCTGCAGTCCAGGCCAACTCCTCTGGACTGGTGCCAAAGGCTCACAATATCAACACACCTTCCAAATAACTGGGAAAGTGCTTTTTGTTTGGGCTCAGAGGACTAAAAGAGGTTATAGCTGTTAAGTCCCATCTTGGCCAGGCTAGCACACGCACTGCTACCATGGATTTGTTTAAAATGTAGACTAGCTTCACTTACTGAGCATACAAAGCAAGTGTCATGCCAAGTGTGGCCCAGGGCTTCAAGAAACCTGTCTCCAGCTTCAATGGGGAATTCACAGCCACGGCACATAGTACCAAACAGAGCATAATAATCTGCAAACAAATGCAAACAGATTTTAAACATGAAGCATAGGCAGAAAATCAAGACTGACCCTTCAAAACCTTTGTGTTTTTCTTCCAGTGGCAGGGGGTTTGCACTTGTGGAGTTTTATAATACTTGGTAGACTGAATAGAGTTCCTAGATCCAAAGGCTGGAACGTCCTCCTTTCCTTGCTAGTTCAGTTCTCATCCCCCCCTCCTTATCCTTTCAAGGCAGCCATGCTTCCATCTTCCTGGTGTTTCATTTCCTTGAGATCAACAGCACGCTCGAGGGGGAAAATGCACTCCTGGCAGAGCACCTGCACGGGTGCTCCTTATGTCCTCTCTGGCTCAGCCTTGAAAGCACAACCTGGCTGTTTACACCACAGACCTTCGTGGCAACTGATGAGCACTTGCCTACATTCTGGTACAGTATTTTCCTCAGACTATGCTACACAAAATTTTGCAATCATTAGGCTTCTGTCCTAAACAGAGGCCAGCAATTTGGATCAAGTCAGAACAGTTTTCTAGTCATCGTCTCCTACAAAGACATGACACAGTTTATCACGTGGGTTTAAAAAAAAAATCCAAACAAACAAAAAACCACAAAAAAACCCCATAAAACACCAGAAAACTCAACCAAAACCAACCAACTAACAAGAACCCAGAGGCTTTAGGCCAGGTATTTGTTTCATTTAACTCCAAGTATCAGCAGGGTGCCCAGACAGTGATCAGTGACTGGAATCACTGAAGAGTATTCACACCATTCACTTTTAGGCACTGGAGTGACTCGAGCCTCCAGAGGCTTCCCCAGAGTCAGCAGAGAAAGGCTTCTCCAGCCATCTCAGAGAGCAGGGACCAAAACGAGAGGCACTGAACTGTGCATATATCCCCACTGACTGCAGAGCTTGAAGAAGAGAGAGCAGGGCACACTAGCAAGATAAAATACATGTCTGAAGCTGAGTGGGAGGCACCGACAGCCACCCCCATCCTCACGTTCTTGGTGTGTGACACTTTATTCTCTGTGCATAGAGCCATCTCAGGAGCTAAAAGCTAACACAGCCCTTTGCTGCCCACCTGTACAGACCTGAATTTCACCCCAAGATGTCTGGTCTTTTCCACTTGTTTCAACTCTCAGATACCCCATTCTAAGTAGGAAATGTAGTTTGGGTTTGTGGTGTTTTTTTTCTGGTTGTTTTGTTTTGTTCTGTTTTGTTTTTTCTCTGCATGGAAGACAACAGCATTAATGCTGTAGTGTGAGAATTTGGGATCAGCACGCTACCATGGCAAACACATAATGTCATGCAGCAGCATGTCTTCATAAGATGAACTACAGACACAGCAACAACCATAATGAAGCTTTGCACTCCATCCTGAATAGTAACACTCTGCCTCCGACAGGGAAATTAGATGCCAGAGGTTGTTTTCAAGGACACTTACAAGGAGTGGCAAGCAGGGTACAAGGAGATTTTGTTTCTCTCCTAGATTATACAGATCAGCTGAAGCTCTGGTCCTTAGTGCAGCAGAGCCAACAGAGGCTTATCACATGTCAAGTCCAAGAGAAAAGTCCTGTTTGGTTTAGTTAGACAGTGTTTTTATGATGACCTCAAAAAGCATCATCACAGGAACACAAGTGCTATGGAAAAGCAAAGCCTCCAATGGCTGCCAGTGGCAAGAAACAGTTTCACCAATTGTCTTCATTAGTCCATGCTACTGAGATGAATTTACAACTGCTTAAGCAGAAGACAGACAAGAAAAATGTCAAATGGTAGAACACATCTGTGCAAAAGCCCTGAAGGACATGGTCTCATGAGCATTCTGCTTCAGCTCTTTGCATTCCTGTTCGTACAGGATCTTTTACTGATAATTTCCTGGTGCCAGTAGTTAAAGCCTTTTGTACGTTGGTCTGTGGCTTGTGTTGATAAGTTTATTGGCTTTTCTTCTGAAGAAAGGGCAATAGATAAGGCAGAATGAAGGGCATCAGCTTTCTTTTGCTTTTGCATGCTTGAACTGCGATACCACGGAAGCCTTCCAAGGCAGACTTCTCACACAGTCACATATCAATGCTTCCTGCACACAGCATTTTCAAAACCAGGTTACTAACTCTGCACTTCAAAAAAGTTCAAAGTTGTAGATATCTGCACTCTAATTTAATTTTAGCATCAACATCCAAACCCATAACATTTTACAGATGATAACCCCTTAATACTAATAACTGATGTCATTAATTTCAAATACATATTGGAAATCAGAACTCTCCTTTGCACTAGGAAGAAAGAAATTTGGCAATGACATTTCCTCTTTATTTCTTTAAAGTTAGTCATAGACTCTTAACTCCAGCTGGACTGAAAGTCTTTGAAGAATGAACAGATCTCAAATTAACCTCTAGTTAGAGAGCCAGGGCCATTACAATGCATCACTGCCAATAACACTCCACAGAACGTCTACATTAACTTGTGCTAGCAACTTTCTATCTCAGAAATAAACTCTGTGAAAAGTGTAGTATTCTTGACATTTTATCCCAGTGTTTCCTGCTTACAGTATAGAAATGTGTGGGTTTGTGCACCCAAGTTGTAACAGTAGCCCAAATCAATGCACCTCATAACATACCGGTCATTTGGTGGCAGGAACAAGAATTCAGTATTAGCAGAACAAACCTGATCATGAGCTTTCCACCCAAAGGGGAGTTATTGATTCCTCCAGTACTATTTTTGAATCATCAGATGGTTTCGAGATTAGGGGCTTCAGATTGCCACAGGATGAAATTTCACCGTGCTGTCACTCTGGAGGATGCTGCTCATGTATCTGTTTCCTCTGCTACTCCACGAACTCAATAGGAGCAGCACGTTACCCTGCTTGTGTCACTGAGTTAGCAATAACCTACTGCGCCCTTTTGTATCTGCCAACACTTCATTAAAGCTGCTCTGACAGAGAATTTTGGATAAATTTTGCCTGCCTGGATCATCCTTTCAGTACCTAGCACTCTCCATGGTGCCCACTGCAATCAATTGTGGGATCAATCCAGAAGGAAATCTTAGCTTCAAACAGGTCACTAGGATTTCATGATAAATCTCTTCCTGGTCAATCTACTTCCACCTGTAGTTAAACTACAATGCTTCTCACAATAGAAAGAAAAGGACAGAAAAGGTCTGTGTGATGGTTCTAACATGGATGTAAACAACACACAGTGTGAAAACAGACAATTTTGATGCAATTTTGTTTATTTTCCATTTCATGGGCATTCTTTATAAATACTATCTATTTCTTTCCTAGCCCCAAAATGTACAGGGAAAGTTTTAAGTAAACTAGGAAACCAACAAAAATAAAAACTGTTCACATTGATAAAAAAGGTAGAATTATTAGCTGGAAGTGCTAAAGACAAAACCAGAATCCCTCTGGACTTTTAAGGCACATCTTTCATGTAATATTGCTCATCAGGCTCTCAAGTGCTCTATTTCTATCACTGTATTTTTCCATGTTTTTTTATCTCAAGCTTATGTTCAACACATGTTATCCCTGATCCTGCAGAAAACTTTGTGGGCAGACTGTTTACTCTTGGAAGTCCCTCTCAGCCGTGAATAAGGCTATTCAGAGTAAGACACATCACTCCACTGGCTTTTGCTTGTTTAATAAATAAGCAGATTTACATAAACTCCAGATTATTTTAAAGGCAACCAGAAAGTCAGCCTTGACACTTTGCTGTATCACTGATGCCTGCAGCTGAGGGCTTAATAGGAACAACACGTAGAACCAGTGACAAGAAGTTTGCTCCTGTCAAAGCTGATAAAATTCTCACCAAAAGGAATTCTTTCCCAAACTTATTAAGCTCTGCTGCCCTGCACAGCCACAGTAACCTTTGGTTGTGTTGCTTCTTACCCGTCTCACAGTAGGGATCACCATCTTCTAAGTGGAAGACGTTATTGCGGATGGGGTTATGACAGGCCACACACACGAAGCAGGAAACGTGCCAAGTTTGTTTCAAAGCATTTATTACTTCCTGTGGGGATCAGAAAAAGTGTTACTAAGACTTTATTCTGATGTGATGACTAGATTGTGGTGACCACGCCTCCACACTTGATTCACTTCAGTAACGGTTTGCTTCCTACTGCTACTTAGAAAATGGGTTTTGCACATAATTTCTGCTGATGTTTAACTTAATGAGATGCTTTATTTATGGCACATCTCCTTATCTGTCTTAATCAACCTTTCATTTTTTGCAAAGTTTGATGTAGAATTGGACAGATTTAACAACTCATTTGTCCACCTGTTTTAATTAGGATCTCATCCACAATGGTCCTGTGAAATAAGAAAAGCAGCATCGCCAACGTCTCCTCAAGTCTGTGAATAGTTAACCAGAAGACACGACAAACAAAATTATGACTGCTCTGTGTTGTTCTGGAAGATGCTGCAGTGCCAAATATGACTTGAGCATTGCTCTGCCAGAGCCCTGCGTGACCCAGGTTCCACAGGAGTGCAGACATGCTGCTGTCTGCAGCAGAGCAGCGGAGGATCGGCTGGCAGGCTCACAGCAGCAACGCCAGTGCCGAGGAGGATAAAGCATCTTTCTATCCACACCACCACTGGGAACAGTGCACTACTTCACATCTAGCCAACCAGACTGTTCTGCAGTGCTTGGCTTGGCTAAGGAGGATTACACTATCTTCTTTTGCTTTTCTCACCCTTTAGTTCTGTAAAAAGCTGACAATTAAAAGCATTTTGCTCAAGAAAAATCTAGTAATCAAGACAGCTACAGAACAGCTTTGTGAAACGGGAGCTGAAGTTGGCAGAGCCAAGGAGACTACAGCATCTTTTCTCAAAGACACTGAAAAGGCTCAACATATAAAGAGCCAAAAACATACTCTGTATGTGATAGGAGTTGAAAAGATATGTCAGAGTATGTTTGGAAGAATGTAAACGGGGAGAGATAAAAGGGAATTTCATTGCAGAGAAGCTCTGAACACTGTGGTTATTTTTCCCAATGAAAAGCAGGCCACTTGCTCATCACTTACCCCAAGGATCTTCCTTTGGCACTTTGAACACTCAGGGGCAAAGAACTTCTCATAGCAGACCTCGCAATACAGTGCCCCCTTCTCTTCCACAAATCCAATATAAGCCATGGAGGTTTTGCAGTGAGCACAATTAAACTCTTCTGGATGCCATGACTTTCCCAAAGCCACCAAAAAGGGTCCTCTGAATAGAAAGAAGGGATTTTGTCAGCAAATGCTCCTGGTTTGGCTCCTGCAAAAGCTGCTCTCTCCTCCCACGGGCTCTAAGAAAGCATCAAGTGTTGGCTGTAGCTTTTCCCATTGAACTCTCTCTCTAAACCACCTGACTGCAATAAATACTCATGGCTGCTAGGGAAAAGAAGAATAAGAAGGATGCTTCCTGTGTTCCTACTTATTTCCACCTATTGGAAAGAGAGATTTGACTCAGTGATACAATCAGCATTCTTTCAGCATGCATTTATATCGAGGCCAGTTGACTCCATTAAAAGCCAATAACATCAGTTTCTTTTGGAAAAAAAAAATTAATTACTGTCCTTACCCAACAAGTTTGTTAGAGGATAATTCATCCCAGTTGTTGGGGGATTGTTTGTTTATTTGTTTTGTTTTTTTTTTTAGGGAGTGGGGGGAAGCATGTTTGTCTGTGTCCTTTCCCCCCTCCCCTTTTCTCTTCAGAAGCAAAAGTAGGACTGTTTTCTCCAAATACACAGCCTCCTCTATTATTTGCAAAGACAAAATAATTATGCTTTTAATAGCATTTGTCTGGCTGATGCAACAAGGTTAACAGATGAGATAAACCTGCCCATTTCACAGTCAACAAAAGGTTCTCAGTTTGTAACTCATAAATCCTAGGTATATACCACTGTACTTGTGTTCATTTGAAAACATATTCAGCATGGTAATTTCTTTAATGAACATATTTGCTTTAATAAGGCCCCACCAATCCTCGAACTCCCAGAATTAAGGTTTCAGTTGAACTTTGTGATTCAAGTTACTCTTCCTCACCAGATTTCCCATTTTTGCAAGACCAATAAAGATACCATTCTTTCAGCCATCACATCACATCACATTTTTTCTGATCTAATACTTCACTGCAAAAAAAAAAGTGTAAGGTACTAATTTCGCCACCCTGTTGCTAAACATTTTTTTTTTAAATTTAGCAAGGTGCAAGAACACTTTTGTGTAAGGTAATATTTTCATATGAACAACAGAGAACAAAAAAAAACTTAACATTTGCTCCCAGGGTTAAACTTACTAAGACAGTGAGAACAGGTTTAGGCTAGATCTTAGGAAGAAGTTCTTTAGTATGAAGGTGGCAAGACTCTGGAATAGGCTGCCCAGAGAAGTCGTGGATGCCCCTCCCTGGAGGTGTTCAAGGCCAGGTTGGAAGAGGCTTTGAGCAACCCAGTCTAGTTGAGAGGTGTCCCTGTGCATGGCAGGGAGGTTGGATGAGATGATCTCTAGGGTCCCTTCCAACCTAGGCCAGTCTATGATTCCATAATAAAATTAGGATTAAGGAAGCAGAGGACAGAAGGCAACTTCACTGAGAGCAGAGGTAACTGTTTTAATTTCTCCTGCATTTTCTATGTATTGCTATGTATTTTCAACAGGATGAGAAGTCAAAGATAAGGGACTCAAACAGATTTAGGATGACTCACACATCTTCTGAGGTGATGAACACATTTAATGTCATTTTTTTCTATTCACCTCTGATCACCAGAGAGAAAGCAGTGAAAAACATCTCCTGGAGTGCAGCTCATGGCCCTTTAAGGAGGGAGCTGGGGTCGAGCTCTGCTCCCTGGCCCCCACTCCCAGCGGATGCCTGAGCAGTGCAAACACTGACCTAACCCGATACCCTCCCGCAGCTCTGCAAGCACCTTTTTACATCAATGCCCTTTCAGTTATGTACTGATCAAACAATACAAGCCCTTATGTACAACAAAGTGCTCTCAGTGCGCCTTGTCAGCACAGGCTAATTTAACAGATTCATTAACACGGGGCTGACACCGAAGAGGCTCTCCCAGCTCCAGGTAGGATTGAGTTTCTGGCCATCTGCAGGGAGATGCTGGGCTCAGCTAGCTCTGCAATGGAAAGCAAGCACACTAGCGACGGGAAGGGAAGGAATTTTTACAACATCTGCTGCATTTAGCTCTCCTGAGTTTACAACTCTGACATGTTGAGGTTAGCCATTCAGGACAGCACACAGGAACCCAGATGGATGGAGAACAGCCTGAGAGTGCATCTATAGGGTTTCTTGCCCAAAGTCCCCAGACAGCTGTGGCTGTGCCCTGCACAATGTCTCCGAGGTGTTCCATTAGCGGGCTGGCTCCTCGCACACACGTGTCCAGAAGAACGCTTTCTAAATACAATTTTACTTTTAATCAGGTCGTAGCTTAAACACATCAAGCTGATGCTGCAGCTTAATGATACCAGTGACTTAAAAGCTGTCCCAAAGCATTTGGAAGAAAGAAAAAAAATAATAAACACCTGCCATGTAAAATACACTAAAACTTGATATTCAGAACTTGGAGGTGTTCCTGGCCTCTGCATATTTTTGCACATGAAATGATAGCTTCCAGCAATGAAAGGTATTTATTTGCTGTATTCATCTGAAAAGGAGTTTAAAGCCCCAGTGTGAGGAAGGGAGCCACATGCCCACACTACTCGTGGAACCTGATGGGAAATATGTAGGATGTGAAATGCTAGGAAGATGGCTGCAGATGGCTTCATCCTTCCTTCCCCATTTAAAAACAAACAAAAATCCCACATGTCTCTGTCAACTAGAACATATTTGTAAAGGTGGCGCTAAAACCCCACGTTCCTTCCATCCAAAGATATGGGATGATCCAACTCAACAGTTGGCCATGAATGTGCCTCTATCCCAGGCTACTCTGACATCCTACGCATTTCTGAACCAACTTCTAACATCACCATCTAGACCCATGAACCCAGCTCGCAGATGGAGGTAAACAGTAGTATATTATTTTTTTTTTTAAAGGGATTCTGGTGTATACACAACAGTATTCACAGAGTCTTATGCCCCAAAGGATCACCAGGTACATAAATTTGGTAACGACCTACAGCATCTAGGGTCCAGCTCTAGCAATGATGGAAGGGCAAATGGGAAGGACAAGTAAGTAACATGGAGGGAATACAATCACAATTTCACTGTCTTTACCTTGTAACTAAATATAACTTCATCAGTATGGTCATGATGCATTAGTATGCCAATAGCCTACCTTCTCATGTGGTTTTTATGATGATAGTAAGCCAGAACTGCAATTTGGTGGTAGAGAGATCAAAAGGATTTCCACATCTGCTAAGTAAGCCTATCACTTTACAGTTAACCATACAGCAGTCTACACTCTTTTTCTCCTCACTTGAAAATGCCATGATGTATCATTATTGTATAGAAGATGCTGAAGAGAAGCACCATTCATCCATTTTCCATTTTGCCTTTAAAAACAATTAAGCTGCCTGAAAAGGTGACAAAGCCAACTCATCATTTACAAGCAGACACGCCAAAGAGTGTATTCTCAGTGGCAATCCAGGAGAAAACACATTTGGACTTCAAAGGAAGAGCCAACTCTGTGCACTGCAGAACTTGGTAAAACTGCCTGGGAACCAGAAGTCTTCAACAGGAAATGTCAGAAGTTTGTCAGACTGTCACAGAAAGTATATTGTAGGAAATTTAGTTTGCCTCCAGCTTTGGTTGTTTTAGATGTAGAAAGAAAAACTTACTTAAGGAAGCTTTGGAAAAAAATGGAATCTTCAGGCAATTACTGTATGAATAATTAAAGATATATAGAAAAGGTATAAGATGTCTCTAAGAAATGGTTTTGGCTCAACCAGCCATGGTTATTCTATGCCTGAGTGTAAAGTAACCAACTCCACAACGCATTTTGGCTTCAAAACAGCTGCACAATGCAATGTCACTCGATCCCTCTCCTACCTTTTCATAGGTAATGCTATCCACTAAGGGCATGAACTGTAATTATGCTAAAACTTGAATTAAAAATGCCATTGCAATCTTTCAGATCCACTGTATGCTGTGAACATGAAGGATATTTGGCATTGACTAATGCAAGTCAATTCATCCTCAAGTGAAACAATGTCTGCTTTTAATAATTGAGTCGGCATTTAACATAGGAAGAAATATAAGGATTCAAACATTATCAGCAAGTTACAAAGAAGTTAGATGTGGGTATCAGTTACTATTCATCAAGATGTGTCACAGTAGGTGACAACAGCTTAAGTACTGTCAAGCAGGGCTGTGTTAGTTTCTCCTCATGCATCCACTAAGGAGCAAAGGTTGCTCCGTAGACCAATACACTCCCCTGCTTAGAGGGTGCAGCTCATCCCCTTTTTAATGGGGACAGAGTGTGAAGTGTGAAGTAGCAGCAGGTGATGCAATGTCCGAGATGAAAGTCTGGCTGCTCAGGATTGATCTACAGACCACGTTGTGAGACTCCACAGCACAGCATCAGTGAACCCTGATGAACCACTGGTGCTGTGAAAGGCACTGAAATTTCCTACAAGAGAGATGCAGCATATAGCATATTTCCAATGCTCAGTTTTCTTTTAAACTGAAATTATAGTAACAAAAAGGAAAGTGCACGGTTGCTTGCTTACTATTTGCTAGATACAAATGCAAAGCCCAAGTAACAAAAAGGCCATAATACTAAAGACATTAGAATGATTATATAGGCCAGATTGTTCAACACATCAGATGTTTCTTATCCCAAAAGTGTGTAGACCTTTCTGATATTAGTCTTCCATTTTGCAGTGAAGCAAAATATGTAGATTAGAAAAGATGTGCACCTATGTTTGGTATAAGTTGTTTTGCTTCAAGGGGATTCAGAACATATATTTTTACTTCCTTGACATATACAACTGAACTAGGAAAAACTTCTCCAAAACATCACAGACCAGTTTGCAAAGAGTCCTCTAAAATTAACTCAATGTTAACTGAGCTGGTAGTCAACTATCAGAACAGAAATCTAATGGAATTAAATAAGCTGACTCAATTGACTCTTAGAAATCAAGTGATTTGAATTAGTTGCATCTTCTGATGTAGGTTCCAAGCCAGGCCTCAAGAGGCTGCAAAAAGTGATTACAGTTTCCTGGATGAGACAATCATGACTAATTGTCAGAAATCACTGAACAATGCAACAGAGATTTAATTCTTCCACCATATGAAATTCTGGCTAACAATAAGGATAGCTTAGGAGCTCATCAGAATTTATTTAACTTAATCTCATTTGGCAAACTTTTGTTTGTGTTGCTTAATCTTTTCTACCCATGTCATACAAGTCCAGGACACTAGCTACCATAATGCCCAAAGGCCAAGAAAGGCCAGCAAAGAGCCTGAAATCTAACATTGCAGGAAATCATTATTAATCCAGTCCTAGCAATTGTTAAACTTGTGTTCCTTCCTCTTCTTACATGGCTGGAGCCTGCTATTTTTCTTCTTCTCAATTAGAAACTATAGTTTATAAATCAAATTTGTGACAAGTCAGTCTTTATAAAACTATAGTCTCTGATTGGTTTCCAAATAGCTAATCTTCTCCATTTCATTGGAATGCATGTATAACTGAAAACTAAATTGCTTAGTTTTCTTTAGTTTTACTTTTGCTCTATTCCACCCAGCTTTCTGATTCTCTGTAAAACAGGCTGTAAGGCTGTGACCATTAGTAGTTCACAAGGTTTCTCCTCCATCAGTATTCTCATTCTCAGTTTTGCAGGAAAACAGTGTTCTGCATTGCTGAAATGAAGCCTTAAAACATGTGTGACTAAGGAATCAAAAACTATGAAAGCAAAACAAAGCCCTGCTATCAGAGAGCCTGCAGGATTAACAGAATCACAGAACGGTTTAGGTTGTAAAAGACCTTTAAGATCATCAAGTCAAACCCTAAACCCAGCGCTGTCAAGTCCACTGCTAAACTACGTCTCTAAGCACCACATCTACCTCCAGGGATGGTGATTCAGTCACTTCCCTGGACAGCCTCTTCCAGTGCTTGACAACACTTTCCATAAATTAATTTTTCCTACTATCTAATCTAAACCTCTCCTGGCACAACTTGAGGCCGTTTCCTCTTGTCCTATCATTTGTTACTTGGGAAGAGAGACTGACCCCCATCTTGCTGAAACCTCCTTTTAGGTAGTTGGAGAGAGTGAGGTGGTCTCCCTTCAGCTTTCTTTTCTCCAGGCTAAACAACCCCAGTTCCCTCAGCTGCTCCCCTTAATACTTGTTCTCTAGACCCTTCACTAGATTTGCTACCCTTGTCTGGACATGTTCCTGCACCTCAAATAACTTCTTTCGATGAGGGACCCCAAACTGCATACAGTATTCGAGATGCGGCCTCACCAGTGCCGAGTACAGGAGAATAATGACTTCCCTGGCCCTGCTGGCCACACTATTCCTGAGACAAGCCAGGATGCTGTTGGCCTCCTTGGCCACCTGGGCACACTGCGGGCTCCTGTTCAGGTCCAGGTCCTTTTCCACCTGGCACTTTCCAGCCACTCCTCCCCAAGCCTGTAGCGTTGCCTGGGGTTGTTGTGACCCGAGTGCAGGACCCGGCACTTGGCCTTGTTGAACTTCATACCGTTTGCCTCAGCCGATCAATCCAACCTGTCCAGGCCGCACTACGAAGCCTTTCGTCCCTCAAGCAGAACAACACATCGGCCTAATTTCCTGTCATCTGCAAACTTACCGAGGGTGCCCTCAATCCCCTCATCCAAATCATTGATAAAGATATTAAACAGAACTAGCCCAAAAACTGAACCCTGGGGAACACAACTTGTGACAGGCTGCCAACTGGATTTAACTCCATTCACTACCGCCTTTCGGGCCCATCCACCCAACTATGCTTTTTACCCAACGCATAGATACAAACCTGATGACTTGATTACAGTGTGCACACATGGGGGTACGCTTTCCTGCTGGAATATGCTCTGCCCTCTGAACCAACGTGTCTTGCTCATTTAGCTGAGGTGGTGTGGCAACTTTTTCACTTGGGGCAGTTGTTCCGGGTGGTTTAATACTGTTTGATGTCCATCCACTGGCAGGAGCTGGGGCAAGCGTGCCAAAAGCATTTAGAAGACCATCTTTCAGTACCAAGTAAGTTACCTTGAAATACGAGCAACCAGCAGCATTTGTCCAACGTCTTTGTCCAGTGTACACCTGCCTACTTAAAGGAACAAATTAAAAAGGGCTTATCTTCCCTTTCTCCCCTACTCAGTAAGTCCTATCTACTTTATGAAATGCCTGTGAAATAACATGGAAAGTTTTTGGCTAACTTGTAGAAGTAATGAACAAATTTCAACATACTAAAGAAGTCAGGCAGAAGAATACACGACCTGTGAAGGTACTATTTTGCTTTAGATACAAAAGCCGAAGCCAAGAATATCAGTGTATGAAGAGAGACAGAAGAATATGACATACCTATTCAAAATATTTTACAGTGAATGCAGTAGATCATACGTCATTACTAACGGATTAAACAAGAGTACACATTCAATACAACATGTATGGAATCTTAAAATACAGTACTGTATAAGGGAATCGTATTTCTAAATCGAATTTAAACACTAGACTAGATCACTAGGTACTGCCAGTCTGAAGCATTCAAAAGGCCACATTCACACCTTCTTTACAGAAGTTATGACACAAATAAAAACCTGCCATTTTCAGAAATGTATGCATCCACACACTTCAACTTGTGCTCAGGTTTTTAGTCACAGAACAGACGTAAGCTTTTACGGAGTAGGAAAAACGCATTTACAAAAATGAAAGGCACAGATGATACTGTTGCCAAGGGTAATGAAGAAACAAACAGTTCTGTGCTTTTCTTTCTCCTCTATTGATATATGTGCCTTGGTAACGTACAAGCTACAGCAACACGAGTTTATGGGAGTAGTTACTCCTGTCAAGTGGAGAATTCTTTTTCTTTTTCAAGTACACTAAAAAGAAAACACAATTCCGTAGCCTTTTGTTTGTAACCACAGGCAAGAGAAACCGTGAATGTTTACTCAGTGCTCTGGCTTTAGTGCAGCCATACTAAAACTTGTTAATCAAAAAGAAACTCAGAAAAAAAAAAATCAAGCAGTGAGTGACAAAGGCATCAGACAGCACAGGATGAATCTTGTGTTGCAATGATGCAGCTCTCCATCCCAAGGTCAGGGCATCAGGATGTAGCTTTGCAAAAAAAAACTGGTTTGTGGAGTGGCTAATCTTGTGCTAGTCTTCTCTGTTTCCTATCATCTTCTGGGGAAAAAATGAAAAATTGATCATCATTATTTTCCTTAATGTAATGCTGATCAGCCTTCACCCTACAGAAAAGCTGCAAATAACTTTCAGGCAAAACACTGTATGTCTTGCTCAAATGGAAGCAGCACACTAATTCACAGAGCAGATACATTTAAGCAACAGTAAATACACACCCAATTCAACAGAAATCCCAATCCATTGCTATTTACAGAATGAAGACAGCCACACACTACAGAATTTAACCAAAACAATACAGTGAACCTCAGGTAACAAAACGCCCCATTCCTCATGTGTATTTGTATGCTAAGGCAACACTGTTGGAAGAAAAATCCTTTTAAGCACCAATAGTTTTGTACTATAATTATGCTTAGTATTAACCCACAAGTATGGACTCAATACATGCTCCTGCTTGCTCTTTCTCTGTATGAAGAAAGCAATATAGTTCTACACCTCTTCTTGTCGAAGTTTAATTTCATCAAATTTTCTCAAATCAGGTCATTTCAAGACTGACATATCTGGAATCCTTTTCAATATCTGAAGTAACAAAAAGTACACCCGTTCATCAGGGCTTTTTTTTTTTTTTCCCTGCTGTGTTTGTGTTGTGTTGGCTTTTAGGGGTTTTGTGATTTGGATTTTTTTTTTTTTCTAATACAAGACTATTGGTTATATTTAATATGTAATTAATATGCAATATCTTGAAAAAATAACATCTTGGTTGCAGAAAAATTCAGAATTCCTGCGTAGAAAGCATTTAGGAATAGAAGCACTTGATCTTGAACAATTCACTCTGCTACCATAGTTCATTTTAGATTTTAAATGCCTGCTCAAATGAAAACATAGGAACAGATAAAAAAAAGAAAAGGTGGGGGAATGGCTTTGAAGACATGAACAAAAGTGGGTTTGATTAATAGCACTTTCCTCCTCTGTCATCACACACAGCGTTCTAATTTTCAGGTTCCATTTCACGAAAAGCCAAAAATACACACTCAAACCAAATCTGTTTGAAGATTGCTTTTGCCATAAATCAAACTGCAGCACAACTTCTAGTATACTGCTAATTTTTTTTTGAGTTATCTACTTAATGCCAAAGCCCATTCAGACACATGAGCTATCTCTTGTTTGCAACGCATAGTTAAAAAAAAAAAAGTCCTTCTGCTTGCTGAAAGGAAAAAAAAGGACAAACATCACAATTATTCCCTTTTCTTTGGTCTCAATCTGGCTTTCATTAATGCTGTTTTTATGAATGATGCTTTGCTGAACACTACCACTACTTTAAAGTTACTATACTGGCCCGGAGCAGGGTTTGTCTACATAAACTTTCTCTACAGGGTTGTTAGACCTGTCATTTCTGAGTTACTCAAAGCACTAAAAAGGAGAGAAGGAGATAGTCCATCAGTTTGGGAAATAACTTTGATCTACCATACTACAGACTTTTAGAACAAAGACTCTATTTTAAGTGAATCATAATACAAACTAGAGAAATCAGTACTGTGTTAACCAAGAGCAGTGGCTAAGCACAAAGAAGCTGGGCATTTAGCACTGAGGACCAGCGAAGGCAAATGGGCACTCCACTCTCACTGAAATCAGTGAACTTGAGTTCAACACCCAGACCTTCAGCAGATGCAGAACTCCCATGGGATCACAGCTACAACACAAACAGAATAAAGGGAATCACAAACAACCTCTAAGCTTTCAGACAGTTCTGTATTTGCCAGAATATTTTTGGATACTGAACAAAAACTAAGTTCTAAAAGGCTTTTAGACTGTCATTTATAAATTTATGTCACTATTTAGTCTACTATGATGGGAACAATATCTAATTGATCACTGCAGATGCCAGCAGCAGCCGAGAACTCAGACAGGAAAGGTTGCCTTCTGCTCAAAAATCCTTGAAAAGCAAGACCTGAAAGCATTTTATGAAATGCTTTCTTCTTTGAGGCCAGCATAAAACCAGAAAGCTCCCTGTCCGTGCTCACAATTTGTTCCCATAGCATTCTCTCAAAGGGTATTTTTCACTTTGCTGGTATTCACATTAAGACTTTGGTGGTCTTGCAGAGCATTATTCCCCTCTGTTCCTGTTCTCAAGTAGACCCTTTAATCTTCCTCATTCCCATCTGAACACCAGCCGGAGGACAGCTTTTATTGCCCACTTGTGTCCTTCCATAGGCCACAAACATGCCTTTAACACTCCAGTAACTTTACCAGAAGTTCATTACTTCCACTGCAACCCACGGAGCATTTTTTTGGTGGTGGTGGTGGTGGCATTTTTGTGGTGTTTTTGTTTTTGTTTTTTTCAAACCCTCTATTAGTTTCCTCCTTAAAATCCATGTGAATTGTCAGTATTTCTTCCCAACAATATTCTACCACTTGTAGCCAGAGAATTTCAAATATTAGGTCTGTTTTCTTGTTTAGAATGAATGCCAATGCTTCCCAACTATCCCTTCTACTTAAACAGCAAGTTTCACAGTACTGGATAAGATGTTTTTTGTGCAAGCAGAGAGGAAGGGGATACTTTTGGAGTTCCCACATTCTCATCCTCTCCTTACTCTTCTCTATTCTCTTGGGAACCTTTTCAGATTGAAACAGAGCCACATGATTTAAAGAAAAGCATCAGGCCCAGAAAACTTATGCAGGTGTTAGGTGTTTTTTCTTGCAACGAGGAACAGGGCACACCAGTGACAAGAAAGTAGGCAGAAATTATTCCACTCATTCTAAGCAAAGACCTCTCAACTCCTGGCAATCTGTCTAAGCTCTCCCATGGTTTATGCTTTACACTGTTTTTCACATTTCACAGATACGATTTTGGAGCCCACCAGCAGCTCTGTTCTCACAGAGCGCTGGGGAAGTGCCCTGGTACCCAAGAGCTGGTGTGGTTGCACATTCTCAGTTGTGAATGATGATTGTGTGAGGATGGGAAAGGAAATCACTCCAGCTGCCACACAACACAACCTCAACACGGATCTTCTGGGTGTCACCTTCGTTGCTTGAATGGGACAGAGCACAACAACTTTTGCGGGTGCTCAAGAATTATAAATTATAACAAGCAAATACAATAAATAGAGGAAATAATTTGTAAGAATTATACACTCCATCAGGAGCTATTCAAGCTACCCTGAGTCCCAGAGGTTTGGGCTCTCCTTAAGCCATGAAAAGATCTCTGTGGTCAAATTTTGGAGTTTTGCAGATCTCACCTTCACTCTCTTTAACTAAATCTTCTAAAACTCTGTTGGTTTGCATTCATGTATTGTCATAGCTGGCTTTTCTAAAACAGAAAACACTCTGTACCCAACTATTAACTTTCTACTTTATTAGGTTTAAGTTTAGCAAACCTTCAGTGTTTGCTCTCACTAAACTCCTTGGTATGGCTAGTTTAATATTTAACAGAGTTTTAGGCAAGGTAAAGAATCGTTGTTTTTTCTTTTCTTTTTCAAAAATCCCAGTGTGACTTTGCCCTCGTCAGACTAACAATAGGCTGTTCCATCGCTGAGCACATGGATAACTGCAAACACTGGCAAAAGGTTTGGAAGACAAAGGGAGAAAGGCGGATACGCGGCGGTGCCAAAGTCACTTTGACAGAGGTTCTGCGGTGCGTAGCAACAATGCAACAGCCTGAACTGTTTAACGCTCACTTAAACATAACATCAGGCTTCATGTAATATCTATAAATAACAATGCTACTTTAAGCAGTGGGAGTGCCAGAACTTCATTTTAAAGTGTTCTAACTCCATGATTTATACGCTGCTATCAAACTACTGTATTATAAATGGAAAATATAAAGCTTCATACATCCAATTTTCTGACT